TAAATCATACTATAACTAACGAATATAAGTTCAACTAACTAACAACAACATAATACGAAAATTAAATCATAATACGAAAATTAAATCATACTATAACTACTAAAAACATAATTAGACCATAATACGAAAAGTCTCAACATACCGAAAAATTTCTGTTCTGTGTATTATGCTCGATTTTGGCTGCTGAAATTTGAAGAAAGGGGAGTGGTTATGTTTTTACAACTGCTGGTGGTGTGGTATTTATAGGAAAATCTGCCTACTATTCACCGTTTTTGACAAAAACGGTGAACACTATCACCGCGTTTGTCTCAAACGGTGAATAGGTGGTAGCTGCGACCTAATTTTGACCTACCAGGGGTGGGAAACGTGGGAAATGATCACCGCGTTAGTTAACAACGGTGAAGACTTCACCGTTTTGGTCAAAAACGGTGAAGCTTTCACCGTTGTTAATTAACGCGGTGAAAGCTTCACCGTTTAGGTGTGAAACGGTGAATACTTCACCGTTTTTGTTTAAAACGATGAAGTATTCACCGTGTTTGTCAAACGGGGTGATGATCTTCACCGTGTTTGTCAAACGCGGTGATGCTCAAACATGTGTACTTTGGGAATTTTTTTTATAACTCATGTATTTTGAGAATTTTTTTTAAGAACGTGTGTACTTTGGGATTTTTTCCCCACTAGCCAGACTAACGATTGATGATTTCTAACTTGTTTCACTTTCATTCACAATGCGGAGAATCCTTGACTAGACCTTGAGTCTCGACTAAAGGAACAAGGCCCTCTTGAGTCAATTGCCTAGAGGGACGTATCCTTCTCTAGAAAAACTGATCAAGGCGTTTTGAACTAGACTCCCTCTATCGAAAGAGGTTCTCAATCGATACAAAGCAGTGAATCAACCCTCGACTAAAGCAATCGATCCACTACTATCAATCTATGGTGCTCTATTGACCTAATCAGGTATTCCCTCTCATAGGATCAAAGCAGAATCAATAATCTCGACTAAAGCAGAATTGAATCATGAAAACATGCATAGATTGAATATGAACTCAAGATTATCAAGTCAGAATACTCATACAATCATCCAATCAAACAAACATAGCTAGGGTTCTTCAAAACCTAAGTGAAGGGAAGTTACTCCATAGAGAAGAGAGAGACTGCAGTAAGAATCTTCAGATGATCAATCTTCAAGTCCGGGCTTGTTCCTCGAGCTTCCAAGGCGAAGAAATCCTCCAATTCCACTCTTAGAATGCCCTCAGATCGCCCTTTCTCTCTTTGGTTCGTCCCTTGGGTGTTTGGGATCCAAAACCCAGCTCTCCTCCTCCTTTGGCTCGAATTTGGGCTAAAAAACCCGATTCTGGGCAAAACACGGTCGAGGGCATGGCCGTGCTTTGGTTTTGCCCGCCCGTGCTTTGCCCTGTGTTAAAAACACGCCCGCGCACGTCGGCGAAAATACGTTCGTGCCTAAATATGGGCACAGCCGTGTTTTGATTTAGGCGCGCCCGTGTTTTTACTGCCGAACCTGTTCCCCTATATTCAATGCTTCGTTTCTCCCTCGTCCGGACTCCGAATCAGTCGCCGTTTGATCCCAGACGCTCGTAGTATCGTCCTCTTTCTTCTAATGACAAGATTGGATGATTCTTTGTCCATAAAGTGAGGTAGAAATCCATTCTTCTTCATGTCATGCCCGAGTTTCTTCTCCCGAATCGCCAATTGATCTCTGATTGACTTGAAACTTGCGCCTATGCTTCACTTTATGTGCTAGGACCTGAAATGTGACAACGGAACACAACCTAGCGTAAAATAGGCCAAGGAAGTGATAATGAAAGCTTAAACGATCAAGAAACAAAGGGGAAAACATGTGCAAATATCGAGTCATCATGTCTGCGTCCTTGAAGAGCCAGAGCCAGTAGAAGCCCGACTGTAGCACCTTCCTCGCTGTGCGGTTTCCTCCGTGGCCGCCAGTAGGTCCTTCATGACAGTGAGGTATAATGCCCTCCATCTCACTCTCCATAACACAGCGACGGTGACACGCTAAAACACAACACCTAACAATGGCCAAGTGTAACCAATGAAAGGGACTGCAGTATAGTGGCACAAGTAATAAATATCGAATCCACGGGTCTCTAGAGTTACTATTACTCAGCTTCATTTCATTATCTAGCAAACTAGATTAAGGATTGATTTATAAACTACTATACTAACTACTCTACTAATTACAAGTTGGGAACTCACTTAGGTATGATTCCCCCTAGATCCTTAATTAGGTCCAAGTTGCAATTACTTTTGGTTGGTCTACTGTTGATTAAACTGCGGAAGATCCTAAATTATCTTGGAATCTCTTAAGCTGACCAAGCCTTCTTAGACAGAATATCCGGCAGGCGACTAGCCTTCACCGGGATAGACTGCTAAGGCGATTCACACAGATCTCCACTACTGGAATGAATTCCAGTACAAAGCAGTGAATTGGTTGACTCTCGCACAACCAATTCATCACTATCAATCAAGGAAGCTCTCGTAACCTAATCAAATTCTATCTATCATAGGTTAAAGGAGAAATCAAGAGAATTTGATCAAGATTCAATTGACTCAATAAATCATGCCTCAATCGATTATAATCAAACAATATAGCATCCAAAACTTCATACAAGAAAGATCCTAACACATGGAACTAGGGTTCTTCAAAACCTAAGTGAAGGGAAGTTACTCCATAGAGAAGAGAGAGACTGCAGAAATCTGATCTAGATCTTCAATCTCCATCTCCAAACTTGATTCCCGAGCTCTAATGGCAAAGAAATCCTCCAAAATAGCTCCAAGAATGTTCCCAAGTCGCTCTCTCTCTAGGGTTCGTCCCTTGGGTGTTTGGGAACCACAAACCCAGCTCTCTCTCTCTCCTTTGGCTCGAATTTGGCTTAAAACCCATAATTTCCCGACTCACACGGCCAGGCTACACGGCCGTGTGGCTTATCCAGCTGCCCGTGTGAGATACAAAACACGGCGTTTCCAATAATTGGACTTCAGGCTACCTACACGGCCGTGTGGCTCACCCAATCTGCCCGTGTGAAGCCTTGCATAATCCCACACGGCCACATTGCTCCTTCACACGGTCGTGTGGGTTTTATTTGTGCCCGTGTGGCTTCCTCAGCGACTCGCCACGCGTTTGAGCTTCGTCCAATCGACCCCGAACTCGCTCCCAAACCTTCATTCACTTACTAGGACCCGAAATATCACAAACAAGCACAACCTAGCGTGAAATCGGCCTAAAACACGAGAATCAACACCTCAAACGGCTCAAGAATAGGGGTAAAAACATGTGCAATTAACGGTTTATCAAACTCCCCCACACTTAAACGTTTGCTTGTCCCCAAGCAAACCAAGTCAGACACAAGGTAAGCTCACATATTTCAAGTATACCAACATTGGGGACAAATCATATAGGCACAGAACACGTGAATCATACTGGCTTTCAAACATCAACACACGAACAACTTCAATAGCAACCTGGACAACCACCACAGAAGACATTCGAGTGCCGCAAAGTCGAGTAAAGGAGAAGTCTCCCTTCTGTTCATCAACCAACCTAGACTTGACTCAACCACTTACTCAAAACAGTCAACTCATGCATAAAACTCAAGACATCAGAATCAAGACCGAGCCATCTAGGTCCTCACCGGGGTAAAGAGCGTAAAGAACAAGGAAATGAATCGCCCACTCTCGACCAGTGGGGTCAAGACAATTTGATGCGAAAAATGCGCATACTTATTCTCTCAATTCCTAACATCTCTTCACCATGACGGCAGCCTCTAAATGTTAGAGTTCACATAAATGGTTGTCATCACTAACTAATCCGGAGGTCTTAGACACAGGTTCAAGTGACTGGCTAGGGTCTTGGACATGGGGAAAAGGCCTTTTAGGTGGTGGAAGTATTCATAGCACAAGGTTCCACATTTCCAAACCCAACAAACTCACTGTCAATCAAACCAGTACTTTCTTTATGCTATTCTGCATTACTCAAATTCTTCAGAGCACAAGAGCGAAGGAGGTCACATAAATGCTAGTATTTCTAAGCCAGACTGCTAAGAAACACCACTTAATGGGCACTATTCAGATTTTTGGTGGTGGCTCTCTTTTGCTTTCATTTTTTCTTTGTTTTTCTTTCATTTTTTTCATTTCTTAAGAGAACCACCACCTCTGCACATTTTCAAACACCTGCCCAACTTTTTAAGAACTACCTCCAACTCTCACATTACATTTAGCAGAAACAGCAGAGAACATGTAAAAATCACTCTGTGGAACCTTCTAAAGAATGCAAAAGGGTGATTTTTCATTGCAGACCAAAAGAAAGGAGAACACACGGCTCAAAGGGGCTGACTAGGGGGTATGACACACCAGGACAGCCAATTTGGTCGTGGGCTAATCCTATGCCTCCATCATCTTAGCTAATGACAACGTGAATGCTACACATCATGGAAGAGGGATCTATCTCACAAGAAAGAAACGAGCAGGCTCAAATCTCACATGGCTACCTATATGCTCTATCTCTCATTCTGATCCTTGAACTAGATGCATAAGAGACTATCAAAGACAAGTAATCAATCCAAGTCACATTTGGTAAGCAAACAGTTGAAAGACTGAATTCTACACAATTTCACTACACGTCTCAGTTATCATTATAGGTTGTCCTAGTCACCATCCAGTTGTCATGCATTAATCCGAAAACCATTCAATTCACCAATCCAAACACAGTGCCAATATGATCAAACAGCCGTACTTGGAGCCCTCAAATCTCGAGATTTGGACAGCGGACTAGGCTCCAAGCACACGTATATAAATTACAACCGATACAAAGCACCCCCCCACACTTAAGCACGACATTGTCCTCAATGGAGGAAAGATAAGGAGGGTAGAACGAAGTTACCAAATCAAGGGTGAATGATGGTGGACGGGGCAGGCGGTGCATTCCAGGAGGAGAGAGTAGTTGGAACACAAACACCACACAAAATCTCACAAAGGTTGATTTATTGACTCTAAAATCAAATAACAAAACTTACTCAACCGAGGAGAAAAAGAGAAAGAAATGCAAACCGAATGGTTGGGTTGCCTCCCAACAAGCGCTTCTTTCACGTCGTGAGCCAGACGATTTCCCTTAAATTTCGGTCCATGCTAGAACCTCCTTGAAGTTGAGGTTCTCGTCAACGAGGTGGAGTCTCAATTCACGAGCATGTGGTATGACAGGTGATGGAAGCTCGTGCACTTGATGCAGATAACATATCCACCCTCGAGACCTCTTCTTCTCTTCTCTCGTCTCATTGCCCCAAACTAGATATGACAACATCGATTGACCACCATCGCGTCCACCAAGAGGGACCGATGTCGACGTGGCCTTGGTCTGGCAAAGAGACACTGCAAATGGGTCCTTGCTAAGTAGTTCCTCGAAGTTTGGTGGAGATATCTCATGTAACTCTTGGCCGATGCAGGCCTCTTCCACCTTAACTCCGTCCTTAGCCTGGACGCCAATTGCTTCTTCAACCTCCCTTTCTTCTTCATGTGGTATCACCCCTGGGAAATGATCAAGAAATTCCTCTTCTTTGCTTTCTTCCTCATCCTCCACAACTTCTTTCTGCACCCTTTCTTGCTCTTCTTCTTCTTCTTCTAGCTCAGATTGGAGAGCAAGTTGCCAAGCAATTTCTTTCATGAGATCATCTTGCATCTCCTCGCTCGGGCCCAGCATATCAGAGCGGAAATGGGGACAGTTGTGATCTACCACCAAAGGATACACTTGATCATGATTATCATGGGAGCTTTCCGTGACAACTTCTGCATGCTCCTGAACATCCTCATGATTGCCTTCTTCTTCCTCCTCCTCTACTTGTATGGCAGCATAAAGGTTGTCTTGAGAAAACTGTGCACAAGCTTTCTCAATGACCTCTATGTGCTTCTTTATGCTCCGAAGGGTATCCTCTGTTTCACGGGGAAAGGAGAAGTCAGTTTGGGCCATGGCCTGGATATGAGGATCCATCTCGGGAAAGGATCTCTCAGGTACTTGAGCAATCTGCTCCACGAGAAGCCTCAAGTGATAGTTTGGATCTGGCTGTGGAGTGTAGCATGGCTCTGCAGAATGGCCCGTGAAGGCCGCCATGGGTAACTCCAGCTCCGATGGCACTTCTAGTTGTGGGAGAAATTCTTCTCGGTAATGAGGTTGTTCTTGATATGCCCAGGGGTCTGATTGTTCTACGTAGTAAGGGGGTTGGCATTGGAACCCGAATCCATAGTCTTCTCCTCCTTGATTGATCCAGGGAGTCTCGGGGTAATACCACTCGGATGGTGGTGGATACCCCCAATAGTTGGAGAAGCCATGAGGATCCATGATTCAGATCTGCACCAACAAAAACAAAAAAAAACACCCAAATGAAAAGCAAGTGTGGAAAAGAAAAGAAAAACGCTAAAGTAACAAACTTCTGCCTTTCCTAATAATCTAGAAATTCCCCGGCAACGGCGCCAAAAACTTGACACGCTAAATCACAACACCTAACAATGGCCAAGTGTAACCAATGAAAGGGACTGCAGTATAGTGGCACAAGTAATAAATATCGAATCCAATCTCTAGAGTTACTATTACTCAGCTTCAGTTCATTATCTAGCAAACTAGATTAAGGATTGATTTATAAACTACTCTACTAACTACTCTACTAATTACAAGTTGGGAACTCACTTAGGTATGGTTCCCCCTAGCTCCTCAATTAGGTCCAAGTTGCAATTACTTTTGGTTGGTCTACTGTTGATTAAACTGCGGAAGATCCTAAATTAGCTTGGAATCTCTTAAGCTGACCAAGCCCTCTTAGACAGAATACCCGGCAGGAGACTAGCCTTCACCGGGATAGACTGCTAAGGCGATTCACACAGATCTCCACTACTGGAATGAATTCCAGTACAAAGCAGTGAATTGGTTGACTCTCGCACAACCAATTCACCACTATCAATCAATGAAGCTCTCTTAACCTAATCAGATTCTATCTATCATAGGTTAAAGCAGAAATCAAGAGAATTTGATCAAGATTCAATTGACTCAATAAATCATGCCTCAATCAATTATAATTAAACAATATAGCATCCAAAACTTCATACAAGAAAGATCCTAACACATGGAACCAGGGTTCCTCAAAACCTAAGTGAAGGGAAGTTACTCCATAGAGAAGAGAGAGATTGTAGAAATCTGATCTAGATCTTCAATCTCCATCTCCAAACTTGATTCCCGAGCTCCAATGGCAAAGAAATCCTCCAAAATAGCTCCAAGAATGTTCCCAAGTCGCTCTCTCTCTCTCTAGGGTTCGTCCCTTGGGTGTTTGGGAACCACAAACCCAGCTCTCTCTCTCTCTCCTTTGGCTCGAATTTGGCTTAAAACCCAGAATTTCCCGACTCACACGGGCGTGTGGCTTACCCAGCTGCCCGTGTGAGATACAAAACGCGACGTTTCCAATAATTGCACTTCTGGCTACCTACACGGCCAGGGACACACGGCCGTGTGGCTCACCCAGTCTGCCCGTGTGAAGCCTCGCATAATCCCACATGGCCATATTGCTCCTTCACACGGACGTGTGGGTTTTATTTGTGCCTGTGTAGCTTCCTCAGCGACTCGCCACGCGTCCGATCTTCTTCCAATCGACCCTGAACTCGCTACCAAACCTTCATTCACTTACTAGGACCCGAAATATCACAAACAAGCACGACCTAGCGTGAAATCGGCCTAAAACACGAGAATCAACACCTCAAACGGCTCAAGAATAGGGGTAAAACATGTGCAATTAACGGTTTATTAGATGGATTATCGCGTCGGCTCCGATCCTGAAGAGATGAGGGTCATCCCAGAAGTAGTGCTTCAGGTCGGAGAAATTTTTTCTCTTGACGTGGGTTGTCATCCCCTTGGGCAGCTGCTGGCCCACTAGATAGTTCACAAAATCAGAGTACCAAGGGGTGACACTCTCCACCAAGTACATCATCATCGGTCTCTCATCCGGGAAGGAGTCGTTGATCTCCTCCTCGAGGTTATCCGCGGGAGGTGCGTCCAACCGGGAGAGGTGATCGGCTGCAACATTCTCCGCTCCTTTCTTGTCCCGAATCTCGATGTCGAACTCCTGCAATAGTAAGATCCATCGTATGAGCCTAGGCTTGGCATCGGCCTTGCTCATCATGTATCGAATCGCAGAGTGATCTGTATACACGGTCACATGGGACAAGACCAGATAAGGACGAAATTTATCTAAGGCAAACACCACCGCGAGCAGCTCCTTCTCTGTGGTGGTGTAGTTCTTCTGGGCATCATTCAGGGTCTTCGAGGCGTAGTAGATAGGTCGGAAGTGCTGATCTCGCCTCTGCCCCAATACAGCTCCAACAGCAACGTCACTGGCATAGCACATCAGCTCAAATGGCAGGGACCAGTCAGGAACAACCATGATAGGATCTTGAGTGAGCTTCTCCTTCAAGGTCGTGAATGCCGCTGTGCATGCATCAGTGAACTGGAAGGGGGCATCCTTCACAAGAAGCTTAGTCAGGGGTAGGGCGATCTTCGAAAAATCCTTGATGAACCGCCTGTAGAACCCTGCATGGCCTAAAAAACTCCGGATCCCCTTAACAGATGTAGGAGGAGGCAGCTTGCTGATAGTCTCGATCTTTGCTCTGTCCACCTCAATCCCCATCTTGGAGATCTTATGCCCCAGAACTATGCCTTCGCGAACCATGAAGTGGCACTTATCCCAACTTAGTGCCAGGTTTGTTTCTTCACGCCGTTTAAGGACGAGTTCCAGGTTATGGAGACAGTGAGAGAATGAGTCTCCGTAAACCGAGAAGTCGTCCATAAACACCTCCATAATCTCGCCGACCAGACGGTCAAAGATGGAGAGCATGCATCGCTGAAAAGTGGCGGGGGTGTTACATAGCCCGAACAGGATCCTCCGGTAAGCAAATGTGCCGAAGGGACAGGTGAAAGTGGTCTTCGCCTGGTCCTCCGGTGCAATGGGTATCTGGAAGTACCCGGACATCCCATCTAGGAAACAGTAGAACTCGTGCCCCGCCAGTCTCTCCTGCATCTGGTCAATGAACGGCAGCGGGAAGTGGTCCTTCCGAGTGGCGTCGTTGAGACGCCGATAATCAATGCAGACACGGTACCCAGTCACCGTGCGCATCGGGATGAGCTCATTCTTCTCGTTAGGCACCACAGTCATCCCACCATTTTTGGGTACCACCTGGGTGGGACTGACCCACTCGCTGTCGGAAATGGCGAAGATAATCCCCGCGTCCAGCAGCTTCATGATCTCTGCCCGAACCACAGCCTCCAGGTTCGGTGTCAGTCTTCTCTGCGGCTGTCTCACTGGCCGCATCTCATCCTCTATCAGTATCCAGTGGTAGCAGAAGGAGGGGCTGATCCCCCGGATATCTGTGATCTTCCACCCTGAAGAGATTAAGGATCCTCCCAAAAATAATGCTTCATGTCGAAGAAGAACTTGCGCTTTGCATGAGTGGCCATCCCCTTTGGTAGCTGCTTGCCCACCAGATAATTGGCAAAGTTAGAATACCAAGGGGCCTCGCTGTCCACAAATGTCATCACCAGCAATCGCTCACCCGGGAAGGAGTCATTGATCTCTTCCACGAAATTGTCCACCGGAGGGGCTTCCAATCGTGATAGATGATCTGGAGCAACATTCGCGGCTCCCTTCTTGTCCCGGATCTCTATATCAAATTCTTGCAGAAGTAGGATTCAGCGGATGAGCCTAGGCTTTGCATCAGCCTTGCTCATCAGATAGCGAATCGCCGAGTGATCTGTGTAGACCACCACATGGGAGAGCACCAGATATGGTCTGAACTTATCAAATGCATACACCACAGCGAGGAGCTCCTTCTCAGTGGTGGTGTAATTCTCATGTGCATCGTTCAAGGTCTTCGATGCGTAGTAGATGGGCTGGAAGTGCTTCTCGCGTCTCTAACCTAGAACTACTCCGACTGCATAGTCACTCGCATCGCACATAAGCTCAAAGGGAAGAGACCAGTCAGGAGTCACCATGATGGGTGCATGGGTAAGCTTCTCCTTCAATGTCTCGAATGTAGTTGTGCACTCAGGAGTGAACTGGAATGGTGCATCCTTCTCCAGTAGCTTGGTCAGAGGAAGGGCAATATTCGAGAAATCTTTAATTACTTTTGGTTTATTTACTGTTGATTATATTGTGGAAGATCTGACAATAGCTTGGAATCTCTTAAGATGACCAAGCCCTCTCAGTCAAACTACTCAGCAGACGACTACTCTTCACCAGGATAGAAACCTGAGGTTATGAACACAAAACTCCACTACTGGAACTGAATTCCAGTACAAAGCAGTAGATCGACCAACTCTCGTATAATCGATTCACTACTACCGATTAAAGAAGCTCTAACAACCTAATAAGATTCTATCTATCTCAGGTTGCAGCAGAAATCAATAAAAGATGATCAGGCTTCAATTGACTCAATCAAAACACTTCAACCGATTATAATCAAACAATATCACAATCCAAACGTCGTTACAACAATGATCCCTAACACATAGAACTAGGGTTCTTCATACCCAAGTGAGAGAGGGTTCTACTCCATAGAGAGAGAGAGAGGAAAGAAGCAAACAAAGCAGTCATACTCATCAAGATGGGAAGATTTTGCTCTGAGATGATGATCTTCACTCTAAGGAAGATTTCCAAGCTTGATTGATGAAACCCAGCTCCAAAATCACTCTTAGGGGGTGTTCTTTGCACTTTCTCTCTCTAGGGCTCTCTTTTTGCTCTGGAAAATTGATCCTCTCTCCTTAGGCTCGAAATTGGGTTAAAACCCAAAATTTCCCGACCACAAGGCCGTGTGTCTTCCTAGTCTGCTAGTGTGGGTGCCAAAACGCGGCATTCCATCTAATGAGCTTCATGCACGCTGCACGGCCAGAAGTGCATGGCCGTGTGGAATCTCGATCTGACCGTGTGAACTCCCTGGAATTTCCACACAGCCTAAAGGGACCCAATACACGGCCAGTGTGGCTTGCCCGCGTAATGGGATTCCACACGGTGACACCACACGGCCGTGTGGATTCCTCAGTTTCTCACCAAACGTCCAACTTTCGTCCAATCGACCCGAAACTCGCTCCCAAACCTCCAATCACGTACTAGGACCTGAAATAACACAAATGAGAACAACCTAGCATGAAATTGGCGTAAGATATGAGAAATTAGGCTCAAACGGCATAAGAATGGTGGATAAAAACATGTGTATATATCAACTCATCAGTGAGCAAGGGTGACCCCCTGCTGGGCCTCCGTGCGGTCGAGGCGCTCATCATATGCAGCCATCCGGGTATGATACTCGGCTTGGGGAGTCGAGTACTACGACTGGAAATGGAGATGATGCTCGAGGAGCTGCTGATTCTAAAGATTCAGCTGCTGGAACTGGTGAGAGAAGTAGTCCTGGGATGGAAACGTAGAGTTACCACCCCCATGCTCATAGGTGCTCAGGTAGGAGGTGGGGTGGTCGACAGCAACGTCCACATCCTCGGGTTTAACATCCTCAGGGGCAGCGGTCTTATCCTCCGCAGGGTGTTCTGGAATGGGGGGAATAGGAAAGCCCTCAATCCACTTGAC